CAAATATCTGAGTTGGCACCGATTATTGTTTTGAAACACTGAAGTATCGATAATAATTTCTATGTCATGGACTATGAACTTGTCTTAAAGTCAGTTGTTCTCTCTCTCTCTCGACCTATAGAATTTTATGGGGTGTGAACTATGTTCATCAAACAAAGTATGTTGTACAGATGAGTGTCACCTTGTGGGCCAACACAAGCCCAAATATCAAGGGTTGGATTAAAAAAGAAGAGAAACACGAGGAAGAGATCTTATCCATGCCTGTTAATGAAAGTCTACCTAACGAATGAAGTTTCTATGAGGCTTAAGATTTATGAATATTACTCTCTATAATGGATCTAAAATCAATTTCTAACACCGTCAATAAAATTTGAAATTAAAAAAATAGTACAAATCTTGCGGATCTATAAACACTTATTTTTAGGGTCAAATAGATGGTCTAGATAATTTGTTATAATATACACTATTTTAGAGTTTAAAATCCTGTTTTTTTTTTTACAACCATAACGTTCAAGCCAAGATGATCGATGTGAAGGTGTTTCAATGCTTGATTTGTAATTTTTGATGAGTTATGATGAGAAGCTTTGCTTATTTTGATAAGGTTGCAGCCCTACCAAATAATTTCCCAATGGTTAATAATGAGAGGCACACGAAAAAATAGTTTCTCCCTAAGGATCGAGTGCACCCAAAATATTTGCTCTTACATAGCAGGCTTAATCCCATTTGTTGAGACAAATGAGAGAGAAGGGAATCAAGTGGTGTTTATACACTTTTAGTAAAAGCATGTAGGAAATAATTGTTTTAAAAAATAGATTGGTGGGGTGGATGGCCTATTACCGATGTCGATAAGCCATCCGAAAAAATAGAAAATTAAGAAATAAATAAAAAAAGTTATGAGAATTTTATCAAATTACCTTTGAATGGTCAATAATTTAACACTTTGCCCACATCTTTTTTTATTTATTTTTTAAATACCCATACCTATGAAAAATACAATATTGTGTTGAAATAGTTGCAAATAAGTAAATTCTTGATAATTTATCTCTAATAGATATGATAAATTGCCCGATAAATTATATGGGAGGCATACATTATTAGAGCCCTAAGAAAGTGATTCAAACCTCAAACATGAGGCTGTGCGACTCCACACATTACCCAATAACGCCATTTGTATTATGCAATAAAAAATTTACATATCAAACTATATATATGTTGAACCGCCTAGAATCAACACAGTGGCCACCAATTATCGATCTGGATAGCCATTTTGTAAGAAACAGGGCATTTTTTAAAAAATCGGAATTGTTCACAACTTGCTTGTGGCGATTCTGATTCACCCCGTTCGACTGTATCACTAAGTCGGATTGAGCACTACCAATAAATAAATAAAAACAAAAGCTTAAAATCAAAATTGGAAAATGAAAATGTGTCCAAGGTTCTTAGAACTCGGATCACTAATCACTAATCCCAGCCAACTCGGATGACTTCGAGTCGGATTGGCGATTTTTCAATAAATAACTAGCAAAGTAATTGTCTTGAGGAGTGGGGCAAGGCAAAAATTTCTCTCTCATGGGTTTATGGAGTGATGGAGAGAGATTCACTTCGGCATATGCAAGCCATTTCCATTTATGGCATGAATTAATGCTCCTTTGATATGTAAAGAAAACCGTCAGAAAAGCATGGAAAGGTCTCTTAAAACCAGGTTGATTCCGGGAGCTGGACCCGGATCGAAATAAATATATAGGCCAGGAGTCAGTAGAGCCCCGACCCGGTCGGACCGAAAAATATAATGTTGGACTCGGACCTTTCGTAATTTCCCTACTTGAAAGTGGGCAAATTTGTCGCTAGAAATGCTACAGACGCGCGGGCAGTAAAGAAGTAGCCGAACCCTTCCGTACTGTAATATCGGGGATATCGTACGGTAGCGTGATGGGGGATGTTTAGAGGCTTATATTTGCCCAAACATTAGAAGAAGCCCAAAATAGCCCTGAATAGCCCCCTTTAATGTTTGTTTGGATTTATCCGTAAAATGTCCAAAATCTCGTCTAGATCGGTAATTTGGATCAATTCTTTGGTTTGAGAATCCTTGTGCCGAGTGACCATCACGGTATCCATTCTTAGCGCTAACATCTCCATTTAACATCTTCAAAATGTACTTCCTCAATCTATTTTAAAAAATTGAAAAAAATGGTATATATATATATATATATATCTATATATATATACGAAAATAAACAGTGATTTCGTCTACCCTCATCGCCATTCAAACTTCATTGTACAGTCAAAGTTGTCCGATAGTGTTTTAATTTTCATTTTTTTTACTAATTGAAACGATATGAAATTTAGAGCATATCTACATCTTAGTGAGATGTACCTAATAAAAATATGAAAAAAATAATTCACAAAAACTGAATTGACCAAAATACCTCACCGCAGCATTCCTCGTGTTCACCTCCGTGATGGCCTCATTCGCTCTGCTCTCATTCGGTCAAATAGTGCTCCTATCCGTCCAATCAGGTGGTTGCCAGTATAGAGGTGGGCCAATCATGTGCAACTCCACTGCCCAAATACCCTGCATGAGGTTCTGAATGGTATAGTCAAATCTTCGCTCCCAAACTTGGTTAAAGAAGTTCTCTCTATCTCTCACATTATGCTCGATCGGTATTTCTAGCGCATAACCTTGAGGAACATGTAGGGGAATGGTCTGGACGTAGCCAAAGTGGCAGAGCATACGATCAAGGTAGTAACCCATCACCAGGTCATCGCATATCAACCAAACCCTACACAACCAACTAGGTCGAGAAGCCATAATGATTGGGTCCTCTAACTCTGGTAACTCGCCAGCATATGGATACCAGGTGAACTCCCCAAAAAAGTCAAATAAGAATGACAGCGAGGAGTAAGTGATTCACAATAATCACAAGAAGTAGAAGGTTACTTACTGTCTGCTCAGTCAACTCATCCACGTGAATACACAAAATGTAGGTGTCTGCTCAGTCAACTCATCCAGGTTAATACGCGAGATGTTGTTAATACACAAAATGTAGGTGTCTGCTTAGTCAACTCATCCAGGTTAATACGCGAGATGTAGGTGTTGGGAAGAGCTTTCCTATATATATATATATATAGGGGAACCAAGAGATTTGGATGGTTTGAGCCATACTGATTTTTATGTCCTATAAAGAACCAATCTAGTTAAGACCGATTCACAATCCAAATTGGTTGTTCATGATATGGACCATTGGGTTTTAAAATGCTCCAATTTTTTAAGGGTTTAAAATCTCATCATCATAATCATCTAAGCTTTATCCTAACTATTTAGGGTCGGCAATATGAATTATGTTTTGCCATTACAAAAGGGTGTGATGTGTATAATGTTGCAACCTTAAACAATCCAATTAAGACACACCTCCAAATTTTATCATAACATTATACTTTTGGTGTAAAAAATTATTAACATTATCTAAAAATTTATTTTCATATCTAATTATAAAATTTTAAACTCCAAATATTGTTAAAATCAAGTACATCTATAAACATATGAAAATCTCAAAAATTGACGGTCTAGATAATATATTGCAAGATGCACTATTTCTAGGACTCATTTTTTTTTTTTTCATATTCATACATCTTGATGTCAATATGATCAATTACCGAGTTTTTCTATATTAAAACAAAATTTTTCTATGGATTTTTTATGTGCATCTTTAGTTCTATATTTTAAGAGTGCAACCTTATATAAACTTTTTCCTTAACATTTAAAATTGTGAAATAGATGTGGTAAAAGTTTTACATCAGCCACCTACCTAACACCACCTTTCTCCTTTCTTCGAGCATGGGACTGACCATGACAAACTTGGTTTAAAGACCCATATGGGTTTAACAACCCATTAGCAGGTGCTCAATCGGGTCTCCATTGTGCTAGTTTGGATTTGCCCTCCATTGCAGTAATCTGGATCAATAATTTCCTCAAGTAACAAAAATAAATAATTTATTTTTCTCAAATAAAAAGAAAGAAAAAAAAAAAAAGGCTTATATAAAATTACAACTTTATACCATTGCAGTAAGTTGCACTTCAAAAATCCTATAGAATAAAGTATTATAGTACTGGAGACCTTCCTATTGATCATCTCAACCTCGAGATATATAGGTACAAAAGGAAAAAAAAATTCGAAGTCTAAAATACAATGCATCTTATAACAAGTTATCTAGACAATTCATTTTTAAATGTTTACTGCTGTGTTTGAATTGTACATTTTTATAACTTTAACTTTTATAATTAAGGATAAAAATAGATTTTCAAGTCGTCATAAGTTTTCTAACACAAGAACAACATCTTTAAGTAAGTTTTAGAAGTGTGCCTTACTTTTACTTTATAAGGCGACAACCTAATACAGCCCTCACCCAAATTTTTATTTTAATTATATTAAATGAATTGTATACAAAATTGCCAATCAGGATCATCGATTCGATGAACTAAATCACCTAATTCTATGACAGAACAGGAGGATCGGATGAATATCGATTCGATGAACTAGATCACCAAATTCTATGACAGAACAGGAGGATCGGATTAATATCTGACCGATTGTTATGGACCCAGCAAGGGCACTTGCTTAGGGGTGGCAATGGGTTTGGTCAAGGACCAAGACGTTAGCAAACCCGATCGGACCGAATAAAAAATTAAAATATCTATGTATTTCATTATATTTAAATATATTTTATAAATTCACACTCGAAATATATTACTAGACCCGGACCCAGATCCCTATCGAGTCTACCCTTCGGTTCCCGGGTCAGAGGTCCTTTGCGACCCCTACTTCCCTACACCAACTGAATCCAATTGAATCGGCACTTTTTTCTTGAAAACTTTTGAGTTCGATGCGAACTAGGAATAACCGACAGTCTCTTTATCTCAAATGAAAATACTGGATGATTCCGTCATATTGAAAGAGTGAGGGGTATTGTTATATCACCCTATTCTTTTTAAACAACGATATGGCGCAAAAGTAAAGTACAGGGAAAAGCAGCAGCGAGGTGGAAGAGACAGAGAGATGAACAGCCCGAGCAAACCCTCGGAGACACAGATCCAGATGCCGGAAACCACGAAAGCGACCGCCAATGATTCAGTCACCATGAGCGGCCCCCTCGTCTCACATTCTGGCGCCGCAGCTGATTTTCTGGCCACTCATGGCCTGAAAACTCGCCGGAAATCGGATCCCATCAGCGCTTTCCTCCGCCTTCTCTGCATTGTCTCATCAATAACAGCAATAGCATTCATGGTCTCTGCTCATAGCTCGGGCTCAGTTCCAATCTATGGATTCAACCTCCAAGTTGACTCCAAATGGTCATTTTCCGACTCTTTTGAGTAAGTTTCCCTTCGTTTTCCGGCCATTCAGATTGCTTCTGCCATTTTCCGACAAAATTTCCCGGCCATTTTGTAAAATCGTGAAGGTCGTGAAGGTATTTTTACTACTTTTCGAGCTGTTTTTGACATGGCGGAGCTTCTTCCCGGCCATTTGTTACAGTGGAGCTATCCTTTTGCTAACCTTTTTAGCTTTTCTTGACATGTTAGCGCTATTTTTCGGCCATCTTAGGCTCAGTGGTGCTAGTTGCACGCTACCTTATACTCGGTGGAGCTATTTTCAGTCATGTCAGATATTGTCGGCTCGGTTTTGTTGGCCACTTTAGGCTCAGTGAGCTTTTTCCTCACCAGCTTTAGGTCAAAAGCAGACTCAATGGAGCTATCTTCCGGCTGGTTTTCTGGCCATTTTAGAGTCAGTTACTCATTTTTCCGGCTAGTTTGCTGGTTATCTGAGACTGATCTATTTTCTGGCTGTTTTTCCGTCGAAAAAATAACTGAAATGGGTTGTTTTCCGGCCACATTAGACTGAGGATAGCTATTTTTCGGCTACGTGTTCCTATCATTGCTATCAAGTATCCAGAGCTCTGTCCTGAAATCGTTTGGAGCTTCTTTCTTTTATCTCATCGGCAATACCGATGATCACTTTTTTCTTTTCACTTACTCGTATTTTGCGGCGCCATGTGGAGGAATTTCCATGTACTAATACTTTCCGTTCTTGTTCCGGCCATTTAACGCCGGAAAATTTCCCGTGAAAGTTTTCTGGTCAGTATTTCCCGGTCACGGTGCTCGGAAAACCGTCAGGCCCCTGTAAAATTACTTGATTAACTCCTCAATCTTTTCATCTTTACAAATCACCGTTCATGAAAAATTGAAATTTTGAATGTTTACTTTACCCTTTTTGGGACTTTTTTTATTTTTTGAAAGTGGTTGATCAGGGTTCCGAAATTTCGGTCGAAGCCTAGTCTTATATTTCCTCGAAATTGCATTCCTTAAATTTATTGAAATCAAAATTCCGGGGTCATTTTTCAGGAGGGGTAATTTAGTTATTTGTGGTTTTTGGGCAGGTATTTGGTGGGAGTTTCGGCTGCCGCGTGTGCTCACTCGCTTCTGCAACTGCTGCTCAGTGTAGCAAAGCTTTGGAAGGGCATTCCGGTAATTCCTTCAAGGAACCATGCCTGGTTAATCTTTGCCGGTGATCAGGTATTTTGACGGCCTCTATTTTTTTCGTTCGTGTGACCAGGATTGCCCTTCGTATTTCCGTATATTATATGAATTTCGCACTCTAATTTTCTTATTATTTAAAACTCTGAGAACTTTTTCCTTGGGGAAAATTATTACTTGCCAGCATCTTTCTAATCTCTTTCGCCACTATATATTTTCGTATTTTTTTGAGAAGAAAATTATGAATTTATTTTTAAAAAATGGGTTTATCTCTACAAAATTCACAGCGAAATCACATTTTTTTTGAAATTTAATAGAAGTAGCTTTTTTTTATATTTACGTGAAAGTCCTATTTTTTGAGAGCACATAGCATTTAACTTTAATATTTTGTACACGGGGATTAGGCTCAAATTTGAATTTTTTATACACAGGACTAGGGTATCTGGGTTGTCATACCTCTCACCATCAAGCATCCACTAAACAAATTTAAAAGATTGGTTCAATAAAAAATTAACCACAATAAACCTACAATATTTTGTTAATGTTATTTCTTTCAAATTATTTTCTTGTATTTTTTATTTTTTCCCCACAATTTGATTTTAATCCAATATATATACAATAAATAAAATTAAGATGCACCGTATGCTCTAAAACATTGCGACTTGAACGTAAAACTATGAAATACATGAGAATATTTTTCTATTTTGAAAGTAAAATAAGATAGGTGTGATTTGTATAAGGTTGCAAGCGCACCCCCCAAATTTTATCATAATATAAACTTTTGGTCTAAAAATTCTTAGGATTATCTGAAAATCTATTTTGCATCTCTAATTATAAGATTTTAAATTCGAAAAATGGTTAAAATCAAGTAGATCTATGGATATATGAAAATCTTGATAATGTGACTCAAAATCTTTTTATTTTTTATGTTTTATATTTATACATCTTGATGTCGAGATGACCAATTAGAGGGTTTTTCAACATTTTCCGATGGCCGATGGATTTTTGAGGTGCATCTTCTTTAATTCTACGTTTTATCGTTGCAACCTTGTATAATTTTTTTCCAAATAAGATTTTTCTGTAAATTTGCCGATATTAATTTGTCCATATTTGGGTTCTGCTCACCAACCCCTCCTGACCTATTGATTTGTCAGGCTTTGGGTTTCTTAGCTTGTTTGACTAAGAACAAAAGTAGGAAAAAAGTTCAGTATCTGATTAAAAGTAGGAAAAAAGTTTGGTATAATGAGTTTGTCTATTTTCTCTTAATCTTTTTTTTGTTTTTTGTTTTTTTTGTTTTTGTAGATATTTGCTTATGCAATGATGAGTGCTGGATCAGCAGCAGCTGGTGTGACTAACCTTAATAGAACAGGAGTTAGGCACTCTGCATTTCCTGATTTTTGCAAGCCTTTGCATCGTTTCTGCGACAGAGTGGCAGTTTCCATTGCATTTGCTTTCTTGGGTGCTTTCATGCTTGCCTCCTCTGCCATTTTCGATGTTATTTGGCTTTCCAAGTATTAGAATATGAAAGTCTCTCTCTCTCTTCCCCAATAGAAAGCATTGTACACAACTTGCACAATTTTGGAACACTGTTGTCCATAGTTTCTCAATCTTTTTGGTTACTTCATTGGCCTTTAGAACAATGTTAAACTTCTGCTTAGATTTATTTAATGTATATGAGATAGAAGTGTTTTAGAAATTGAACAGGGGTCGAACTGGTCACGCACTGGTTTGGAGCATGGGATCCGCCCGACTGGCTTGTTGGTTTTTGGGGGGTATACCTGTAGAGAAATTTAAAGGATGCATAAAGAACACTATAGTGGGAACTGGAGCAAAGTCGAGAAGCTATAGATCCGTGCTTGTATCAAGCCAGCTCAAGCAGGCTCTGAACCGGATCCTGGTTTGGTGATTTTTGGAACAGTTCTATATCGTGGCCATCCGTGTCTCTTGTTGGTCTGGGCTCGTTATTGATATTTAAGGTATCTTAAAAGTACAGTGGTATTAGTTATTAGATAAGGACACGGTTTTTATGAGTCAATGGAAAAATGAGTCACCTCTTAGAAATATATTTTTGAGATGTTTATTTGGACTTAATTTTGTAAAATGGGTTTTTCAAAGTAGGTCCTTTTCCATTGCTTTCCGAGGCTTTTCTTGTATAAATTTTCCTACAAATGATGAGTGTTATTGTCCATAAAGGAAAAGTTTATATAAGGTTCCAACCTTGTACGGTTGAAGTAAGGTGTACCACAAAAGTCCTTCATTGAAGAGTGTTCCGGTAGAACTTATCATTGTGACCTTGAGATGAATGGACATGAAGAAGAAAAAAAATTTCAAAGTCCAAAAAATAATGCAGAAAGTTATTTAGACAGTCTATTTTCAAAAATTTTTTAAATATTTATTGATTTGTTTAATGTACTCCATTTTTTAAATTTTGAATTTTATAACTGAGAATAAAAAAAGATTTGGAAGCCATCATAAGGTTTTCAGTTATGCAACATCTCTAAGTAAATTTTAAAGGTGCGCCTTACTTCTATAGTATGAGGAAGCAACCTTATACAAACCTGACCTTTTCGATATAAAGGAGGATGAGAAGTTTCTCACTCTACCAAAGTTTTCCTAATTGTAGAACTTTTGTTGTGTGCAATAATGTCTTGAATTCTACTGTCTGCACTGCACTATGTTGACCGAAGGTCTAGTGCTCTCCACCCCTAACTGGGACTGTCTTGGGAGGCCATCTGCCCATGGTCATGGGTTGGGAGCTCTCGACTCAAAAATTTGGTGCTATTATGGAGGTATTTTTGGCATATGGAGGTGTTTATCTTGAGGTGTGAAACAAGATTTAAGGTCCATATCGGCTCTATTTAATTGAAGGGTGCAGTTGGCATATGGATGCATCCTTAGGTGTAGAGGTAAGGTGCACCTTCAAATTTTATCATGGTATATAATTGTAGGGGTAGAGGTAAGGTGCACCTTCAAATTTTATCATGGTATATAATTTTGATGTAAAATGTTCTTAGGATTATCTCAAAATCTATTTTTATATTTAATTATAAAATTTTAAATTTTAAAAAAGGTTAAAATCAAGTAGATCTATAAACATATGAAAATCTTGAAAATGGACGGCGTAGATAATAAAATATTAAGACTTAATTTTTTTTTATTTTTCATAGTCATATATCTCGATGTCGAGATGATCAATTGAAAGGTTTTTCAACATTAAAACTATTTTTTCGAATGGATTTTTGAGGGCACATGTGGTTCTACATTATAAAGTAGCATCTTTATATAAACTTTTTTCTTAATTGAAATGAGTGCTTAAAAACGGGTGAGTTGGATAGGAAACTGTCAATCCAGATAGAGAATTAGCCGAACTGGTTTTAAGAAGATATAGGTTTGACCATTATCCCTCTCCTAAAAATGCCATTTATATTTGTTGTTTAAGCTCATGTGATTAACACAAATCCACACAAAAAGAAAACCTACTACATCAACACATATTTAAGTTTCTATTTTGATTTTAATGTTTTTTGGATCATTGATTTGCACCAATCCAGATCAATCCAAATTGCCGATCCAATTATCTGATATGGATCTATGAGGTGAACAATCCAAGCCACTGACCTAGATTTTGAAACACATATTGAGATTGGCTTGTGTGAGAACAGTTTTGTACCTTCTAAGTTGCAATAGTGAAGACATTAATTGTCTTGACCTATGAACTTAATCATTAGATTAGTGATGAACTACGTAAATCATGGTGGAGCAATGATCCAATGCAACGACACTCCTGGAAAACTATGTTTGTGGCATTTGTATAATCCCAAATTTTGCACGCACACTCTCTTCATCTCAATAATCAATTCTCAAAAAAAAAAAAAAAAGTTCAATTTGAACCCTAAATATGATCAAAATGAGTACCTTCCAAAAACAAATATAGACCATTCATTTTGTGAATTTTAAAACTTAGTCTTTATAAACTCAAAATCATTTTTTTTCTTTTTTAACATTGTTCATCAATAGTAAAGCCATCCAAAAAAATTGGAAATGAAAAATTCCTTCTAAAGTCTAGATTTAGGCATCTCACCAAAATGAACGGCTTATGTTAGTTGAGCTAAAAAAGTACTTTCTAGGTTGTGTTTTTAATTTTTTCTTTTTTTTTGAGACTGTTCATTTGAATGAAAAGAGTGTATATTTCAAAATTTGGATCAAACAAATGGCAATAAGATGGCTTTTTAAGGTTGTTGTATCATATTATCATACAACGGTTGCATGAAATCATTGCCTATCATGGTGCTTCTTTGTGCATTATATTTTTACTCTACTTGAGTTATGATGATGCTCGAGATTTATTCACACTCATTAAAAATGTCGTCTCTTGTAAGAATGGACTCAAGGCATTGGTTGTGTAGATGGTGGGCCATAACCATTTAGACTGGACCAGACTCCAGAGTCTGACCGATTGGGCTGCCAATCGGTGCCTCGATTTGGTATGAAGTAAAAATCTTGTTTAGTTAATAACGGTCAAAATTAGTGCTTGATTGATTTTGGCCAGTTTGGCCGTCTGGTTTTGATCAACTCGACTGGCTAAACAAAGTTGAGAAATTTTCTTCTTCTTTTTTGAAATTCTATTTTAAAAAAATATTATACTTATACTTTTTAAAAATTTGATCCAACATGTTTGTTTGATTGTTGAACTAGTTTTAATTAGACTAGATCCCCCACTCATTCGATAACTAATCTGATATTTATAACTATGTGATAAGGTGCTACGAGATGATATCTTGAATTTCATTCATTAATATATTCATATTATTCGCTCTCTAGGATCTTATCATAAGCTCAGGGTCTCCATGGGGGAAGCGGGGTTGAAGGTGAAGGCTGTCCATATCTCTCTCAACCAAAGTCCCTCTACTTCATCTTGTCTTTTTTATCCATCGTATTTTGTCCCTCATGTTTATATCGATGCAAAATACTCACAACACACATCAAGATGATCACGAACGAGCAATGATTCTCAAAATTCATGGAACAAATCAGTTTATGCAATCAATTTCAAAACAAATTCCCCTTATGACTAGAGGAATAGCCTCTCTACCTGGGTAGTTATGGGTTTTCCCTACCTCAACTTCAAACTGGGGTCTCAAGGTTACAACCATAAATAAATAAATAAATAAATAAAAAAATTTCAAAGACCTCAAATTCAAGAAAAGATGCTTAAGAGAGAGCAGGGCTTTAAATACCAGATCAATACCCTAAATTGTTAGGGCACCAGTATTTGGTTCACCGATCCGGATAGTGTATGTATAAAACTAGAAATTAAATAAATAAAAAACATGTGGAATCAGGCGGTTCTGGACGTTTCTTGTATCAATAGAAGTATCCCAACATTAAGAAACAATGAACATCCCTCGTATCTAAGGGGAGAGAGATTTGAACACCTTGAGACTCTAGTGAAATTGTTCAAGTCAAGTATCTTAAACAAGCGACTACATTATGGAATTGTATACAATGAGACCATTTGCTTTTGGTACAGAGGTGGTCACAATTATCTACAACAATCTGATGTGAAATTTGATAGCTTGGTTGTACCACAAAGTTCAAAAAAATTTATTTGAATTTTGAGTTTGTCAATGAAATAAATACAACCACCCAATTTCACATCCAACAGTCAAGATTAATTGTGACCACCTTGTACCAAAGGTAAATAATATTTTTATATACTTTCCCACTATAAAAAAGACCCACTATTAAAATGGTCTTATCATAGGTGATTATAATTACCACTATATTATATGAACATTTGGTTTAAACTCATAGGCGGTTATAATTACCACTATATTATATGAACATTTGGTTTAAACTATAGATTTTGTATCTAATAGCTTGGGGGTGATTGTGCCCTCCTTAATCAATGGTCCTATTATATATCTTCCGGTATTTAATTCATCACTCATGAGCAGAGAGGTAGTAGGTAGCAGCATGAGCATTTCAAAGGGCAATGTTTTAAAAACTGGAATTAATTTGTGGACTCAGGTACCAGTATTGGCTTTGCGAATTCTAAGCCAGATTCTAACTCAGGTACCATAAAAAGGAAACCACAAAAAACGACTGAAATCGAGCCCCACCAAAAAAAAAAGGAAAAAGAAAAAATCACATGGAATTTTAGAATGGCATGAATCCTTGTAGGAATTCTGGACCACGTAGAATCCAGGACCCCAAGGTAAGCCCTCACAGGGGATTCCAAGTCAACTTTGCTTTTAGGGCTTAACTCGGCCCTTAAACACTAATGCTTGGGTCACAAAATGTAGATTGAGGGCAAGGGCCTGAGACATGACAAAGCCAGGTCGCCCTAATTGTTTTCAGCCCCCTCTGGGCTTGGGCTGACCCTACAAGGATTAGATTGGGCTGGGCTTGGCCAAGCCCGTTACCAGTCCTATCCACTATATGGGATCAATGTTTGGTATAGTAATCCACATGACCATTTGGAGCAAATGACCATGGGAATCACCACCAATGGAGGGAGGATGAGACCTGCTCCAAAATCATGCATCTCCTTCTATCAGAGTCCATCCTTTGGTATAGAAGGAGATGACCATTAGCCCCACTTATCTACTTCCAATGGCTATCTAGGTTTTAAAAACATTCTAAAAAATGGTCAATTGGGTTGGAACCGGTCGGTTTGAATTGAAAATTGGAGGAACCGGTCTAGTTCTACCAAAATATTGGGAGGGAATTGATCGGTTCTTTAAGAGAAACCGCAAGTTTTGTCAAAGAACCAATCCCACTGTCATTTTTTAATAATTTTTTTAAAAAAAGTCGTTAGCTAGATAGCTGATTTGGACTGCCTATCCATCGATGAAGGACCCATTTTCCGGATTGGTAACCCTGATCACCTATCCATGTTTAAAAAAATGGTGAAAAACCATACATTTTAAAACATGGTGAAAAACCATACATTTTAAAACATGGTGAAAAACAATACACAAATTTTTTTCCCTCCCAAAATTATGATTTAGAAAGGACCCAATTTGCACTTTTTAGGCATCCTCACCCAACATTTTTTATTCCATACTGTAACCTCAATACTATTTTTCTTTACAACTACCTCCAAATTTTAAATATTAATATTTTAGTACTAAAATACCATGTAGTTTAACACCCAACATGTGTTCGTCCAGCACAAAAATGTGGCAAACCAACAAGAGTTGAATATAGAACTTGTCCAGTATAAAAAATGTGTTGGACTGACTTTGTACAAGTTGTGCCAATTCAGCACATTTCTGCCCGACCGACACAAGTTGAATATAGAGCCGATTAGGTACAATAAATGTGTCGAATCAGCTCTGTATAAGTTGTGCTAGCCTGACACATTATATATCGACCGGCTTAGAGAGAGAATGGAAAATGTGGCCATCAATTGAATATTTTGGTCTAAAGAAAATCAACTTTTGCATTTGAAGATGGTTACAAGTCAAACATTGAAGTAGGAGAAGTAGAAGATGTGTTTGGAAAGAAGGGAATGGGGGACATGTCTAGAAAGTACAAATTGAGATATTTATAATCTAAAAATATATATAAAAAGTTATTTATTTTTTTGTATAAAGAGATTACAGTCATTCTGGTCTTTTCAATTTTAAAATGGGTAGCGATAAGAGTGTCATTGAGTAGTCTTAAAGTTAAATTTTTTTTTAAAAAAAAGTTATAAAAAACTCAAATACTATCCTTTCTATGGATCTTACCCCAACCTAATTTTTGTTCTCACTTCTTTCTCCCTAATACACTTTCTATATAAATACCCCCAATCAAATAAAAAATTAAAAAAATCTTAAACTACCCTCACTTATTTTTACTTTAGAGGCGTCTCTCCTCTATCCCACCAAAATAGGGGATTTGGCACCTCCACTATGTAAAGTGCGGTCCCGCAGCAGTACAAAAATTCGCCTCTCTCTTCCATCCCACCTGGCTCTGGCACTGTGTAAGTGGAGTCCAACCGTAGAGCTTCTATGTACGGTCTAACAACAGGCTCGGCACTTTATAAAATGCGGTTCGGCAGCAAGGCTTGTAAAATATCGGTCCTGTAGTAGAACTCTCATACTGTGTAAAGTAGGGTTCGATAAAGAAAGGCGAAATGTCTTTTTATAATTTTTACAAAACGAAAAAGTTTTGTTTCGGGTAAGTTATATAAAAAGTGTGGTGTTTAGGTTTTTTTTTTTTTTTTTTTGTAATTTTTCCAAATAATTATCTGACCGCATAACTCAGCCCAAGACATCCATTGTAACATACTAACATCTAAGGAGTGAGAATAGTCGTGACCACTGGTAATAAAATAAATGATCATTCCCCACGAAAATAAAAGTATATCAATGCTATTTCTCCATCTTCCCCTTCCAAAGCAAAGGACAAATGGATAGCATCCCTTCACAAAAAGTTGCACAAATTTCAGTAGGAGAAGCCCACACCCTTGTTCTTTCAGGTACAACATCTCTCTCTACTTTTGTTCTCCTTCCATTTATTCTTTCCATAAACCCAATCTGCAAATTTTCATCGATGCGCTCATATCTGAAACTCGAGATTTTGACCTCATTGGAATTTAAGCATATATATATATATATATAACAAATTTTTCATCGATGCGCTCATATCTGAAACTCGAGATTACGTTACCTACTACTAGTAAGTAGACATATATATATATATATATATATATATATATATATATATATATATATATATATACTACATTTTCTTCCGTTTCTTTCTTTCTTTCTCTTTCCTTACTTCAAAAATTGGGATTTGGGTTCAATTTTGCAGGTGATGGCAAGGTTTATTCATGGGGTCGCGGCATGTTTGGCCGGCTTGGTACTGGTAATGAAGCTGATCAGAATTCCCCTGTTCTTGTAGGTTTTGAGAGAGCGAGACGAAATTTTGCAGAGGGAACCCTAGAAATGGCACCCAAATTTGTTGCGGTTGCCTCTGGTGCTTACCACAGTCTCGCATTGCAAGGTAATTTTTTTTTTAAAATTTTTGCTTTTTCATCTCTATACTGGTATTCATGATTTTTTTTGGCTCAGTTCTTTCCTTTCGTCTCTTTCATTTCAACCTATTTTGTCACGTCTGAAGAATTCAACACATCAATGAGTATTGGTGCCATATATATTTGCATTGTTTTTTAATTCAACACTCCATATTCGTTTTGAATGATGTTATTTATTTTGTAGAGATTATATTATCAACTCTAACCCACCTGGACCTGCCAGGTCGGGTGTCCGGATCTGGTCAATGCTGGGCCGGGCCTGGGTCAGGTCAACCCTTTTCTGATTTGTTTGTTATGTAGTGAATAAGTGTGGGTATTGGTGCCTGCATTCTTGTGAATTGCATAATTATTATGTATATGAGAATGCACTGGTGAATTGAGAAAATTATGTTTATATAGATAATACATAATTATGTATGGGACTGTAAATGTGATTAGTAATGTCATGGAAACATCATAACCATGAGGTTGTCACTGTCGAATCATTGATTGGATGGTGATAATCCACATGGTCAAACATTAAAAGAAAAAAAAAGAGACAATCCACTGGGCGATGTTGTTATGGATAATATTATTGATTTTTTCTGTTAGGTATGTATGCATATGAAATTTGAGAATGCTTAATGCACTAGTGAATTAGTATGTGTATTGATGGACGCAAATGAAATTTTTTAAATCTACATATGTACATATGTAACTATGTATGAGTGATTTAGCATAGGGATTACATTTTGCAAAGAGAAATAAAAAACAACTAATCTGGAAAAATACATGGGATAAAACAAATCCCCTGGAAAAGAGACTGTTACTACTTATAAAAAACAAACAAGATATCAGATCTGCACAAAATCTTGTTTGGATTCTCATTGAAGATGGCTTGAAGAAAGAATGACAATAGTAACAATACCTTAAAGAGCTTGTGTTTTGTGGTCATTTTCTGTTTCTGTTAGGCATTTTCTTAATAAATATGTTATCAACAGATTGAAGTTGGTGGTTAATATCTTGACATTGATAGATTTTGAGCCCTCTGAGAAGCTTTATTATATGCTTGCGTTGAGAAGTATAGTGTCAACTATACTCGTCTCATGGAAGTTGCCTCCTTCACCCTTGCAATCCTTTCTTTTTGCTGATCCCATTCTTTATTCTTGTAGATGATGGATCGCTTTGGTCATGGGGGTACAACTATTGTATCCTTTTGATAATGGCATATTTTCTTTCTCTCTGATCATCAATATAGCTAAAACTTGAGCCCTTTGTTAGAATGTTAATGGTTTTCTGTTTCAATAGTTTTTTCCTTCATAGTTGCACGGATGGCCAGCTTGGTCATGATTCAGGTAATACTTTGACTCCTCATGTCCTAAATGGATTCAGTGGACTGAAGTCTATTGATGATTCAGTGGATGAACCAAATACCAACATGAAGGAACAATTGAAGGTAAACCAGTCGTGGCATGTTTTATTGTCTCTAGTGCCTTCAAGGCCCTTAGTGATGGGACTTCAGACTTTGAAGGTCCAAAGTTAGAAGGCTCTTAGTGATGGGACTTCAGACTTTGAAGGTCCAAAGTTATAGTAAAAGTTCCTTTGGACTTCTGTATAAAGTCGTTGTCATTTTGAACCTTGAAGCTTCAAAGTGGGGCAGTTTTTTAGAAAAAATGAGAAAAGGGAAAAAAAATGGGTATGAGCGTTAACTGGATCTTAAAATTCACCAAATAGACGGTCAAGATTTATTATTGGATGGGGGCTCATTTTAGTATATGTAAGGTGCTAATTGAATTTTATTTTTTTGGGGATTGATTGTTGGGATGAAGAGGATACTCTTAACAATTTTCAAATTGTGGTTTAAGAAATTTGACATTAGAGCCACTTAGAAGCAGCCCAAGGGCTTTGTCCTTTATCACTCCATATGTTCTCCTTCCTTTCTTTATTTATCATCTTTTGGCTGGACTTTTTCTCAGGTTTCTTCAATAAAGGCTGGAGGAATGATGTCACTTGCAATTGATAGTCTGGGGAATCTCTGGATATGGGGCAACTGTCCATTTCAGCTTGATAAAAGCAATACAAAATTCTCTCTTGTGAGCATTGTCCCTCCAAAGCCTGTTTTGGATTTCCATGGACGATTTGTTCACAAGGTGGCTTGTGGTAATGAGCATGTGGTAGCCTTAGTTGGCTCCTCAGAAACTTCGAAGGATTTGCTATGCTATTCTTGGGGTAACAACAATCATGGTCAGTTGGGTCTAGGGGACACCGAAAGGAGGAGTCACCCTGAACTTGTGAAGACTTTTGGACATGACAGTCCTTGGATGGTTTGTGAAGTAGCATGTGGGGCCTTTCACACCGCCATACTCACACAATCAAAGGCAGGTAATCATAAATCTATGCTATGATACACATGTACACGCGTGCACACACACACGTGTGTGTATATATATATGGAAGATGCTAGGGTTAGCCCACTTCCTAATGGAATAGTATAAGCGGAACGGTCCAGATTCAATCTGGGCCGATCTGACAGTCAGAAGCGTATTTTGGTAATATAATTTTAATATTGTTATATAAATCCAAATAGCATGAAATTTGGAGCATCAACTTTTTTCATCAAGGCGCACCTAATAAAAATATTAAAAAAGTAATTCGCATAAAATAAATTGAACTTCAAGGGTATTTTGGTCAGTTTATTTTATGCGAATTATTTTTTTGATATTTTTATTAGATTCCAATATTTTTGAAGAATAGATGCTCCAAATTTCAAGTGATTTGAATTTGTAGAAAAAAAAATTAAAATTCAGTTATGAAATACAATTGTGATCATTAGATTGGCCCAGATTCAATAGGGGCCATTGGACTTATACTGTTCCATCAGCCCATGGGCTAACATGAGCTTTTTCCTAAGGCTGCAACATTAAAATGTAGAATCACAGATGCACCTCAAAAATCTATCGAAAATGTTTTTTTAATGTTGAAAAAACACTCTAATCGATCATCTCGACATCGTGATGTATGAATATGAAAAAAAAAAAAAAATTTGAGTCCTAGAAATAGTGCATCTTGCAACACATTATCTAGACCGTCAATTTTCAAGATTTTCATATATTTATAGATCTATTTAATTTTAACTTTTTTTAGAATTTAAAATTTTCTGATTAGGTATGCAAATAGATTTTACGATAATAATAAGAATTTTTTACAACAGAATTAAATGTTATGATAAAATTTTAATGTGCGCCTTAATTGGATTGTTTAAGGTCGCAACCTTATAGAAACGGCACCCATAATAGTATAATGCAACCACACTTTTAGAAACCATGTTTGTGGTATTTGTATGACCCAAAATTTTGCACACACTCTCTCTTCATCTCAATAATCAATCCAAAAAAAAAGTTCAATTTGAACCCTAGATATGGTCAAAATGAGTCCCCTTCAACAACGAATGTAGACCATTCATTTGGTGAATTTCAATATCTTAACATCGACAAATTCAAAATCATTTTTTTCTTTTTTAACATTGTTCATCTAATGATAATAATGCCATCTAAAAAATCTGGAAAAGAAAAAATCCTTCTAAGCCCTAGATCTAAGTATTTTATCAAAATGGACGGCCTATGTTAATTGGGCTAAAAAAATATTTTCTTGGTTTCGTTTTCTAATTTTTCTCTTTTGTGATTGTTCATTAGAATGAAAAAGGTTTATATTTCAAATTTTGATTCAAACAAATGCCCCTAACATGATTTTTGAATATTGTTGCATTATACTATGATACAACCGTTGCATGAAATCATTGCCTATATATATATATATATATATATATATATA